GGGATGGGGCCCAGCACAGGTGAAGGCTGGCAGGGGGTGCACTTCCCAGGGGAGATGGGGAGCAGGCCCAGGGTGGTTTGGCGGGATGGGGTCCAGCACAGGTGAAGGCTGGCAGGGGGTGCACTTCCCAGGGGAGATGGGGAGCGGGCCCAGCACAGGTGAAGGCTGGCAGGGGGTGCACTTCCCAGGGGAGAGTGAGGGGTACAGGCCTAGGGTGGGCTGGCGGGATGGGGCCCAGCACAGTTGGAGGCTGGGGCAGCCAGGGCAGGGCCACTCCATAAGAACAGGGGGAGCACATGTGGCCTGGATACTGATAAGGGGGAAGGCTCGAGTGGGAACCTGCTCCCCCTGGGCAGCCCTGTCCTCCAGGAGAGGGGGCAGGAGGGGGTGCTGCAGCTGGACAGTGAGGATGTGTGTGTGGGCAGGAGACAGACTGAGGGAGGGCACATGCGGCTGGCCTGCCAGGGGCATCTAGGGCTCCTGGGATGAGCACAGGTGCATGGGGACTGAGCCACATGGGCCTGGGCTGCCCTAGGTGGCTTAGCCTCAGGTTACAGGTTTAGAAAGGCCCAAGAATGACCCCAAAAGCTGGCCAAAGAGCCAGAGGGGCAAGCATGGCCACAGGCAGTAGCTGCTGGCCCAGGCTGGAGAGTCTTAAGGAGCATTGAGTCAGAGGACACGGGAGAGAAAGGTCCCCAAGATTCACCTGTCCTGCCACTGGGGCTACAGTGTCCCTTACCAGCATGGCAAGGACCAAGCAAACCTCAACAAGTGGGCTCCAGAAGGGGGCAGTAGACCCTGGGAAGAAGGCATAGGGCCCCTGGCGGGAGGGGCTGCTTGGTCTGTCACTACAAAGCCCTGCGAGGCAATGCTCAGAAACTAGCATTGCCCCACAGACAAACAGCTCAGGAACGATCCCTCCCTCCCTCCTTCCCCACTTTCTTTTCTAGTTCTGGACCATGGGTGGCTGCAGGACAGAGGTGTGTTTCCTGGCATGCAGAGGGCAGATTGGAGCCCTCTCCTCTGCTCAGCCAGGGATCAGCTGAGCTCCGGGTAGGCCCTGTGGCCTATCTGGTGAGACCTCACTGGCAGCAGGTCCCACTTGGGAACTGGTGCTTGGGGAGGTCACTTATAGAACACTAACCACGTCTAGAGGCAGCCTGTGAACCTGTAACAGCACCCTCAAAGTGAATTTCCTGTTTTGAAGTGTGAATTATTCATAAATTGGTTTTACAAAACCTTGATGAGAGCCCCTCCCCACTGCTGCAAGAATGCGGTGGCTCTGAGTGAGGAGACATGCAGTGACTGGAGCAGGTGGCCCAGGGAATTACATCTCTATCCTCCTTCAGACTGGTTTTTTGCCTTATGGATTTTCACATGTCTCTCATGGCTGGAGTAATTGTTCTATGCAAAAAGAAAAGGAAAAACTCCGGATCTATTCCCCTGCCACTGACAGAAAGGGAAGTGTGATGCTACCAGCCAGGAGCCTGTCATGCTTCCCGGAAGCTAGTGCACTGGAGCAATGAGAGAACGGCTCAGCATTCCAAAATAGGCTCCATAGAGCTCCCTGGCAACTGCCCCGCATACCTATGAGAACGGGTCCCATGGCTGATGCAGGCCATGCCACCCAGGTTCCCCAAGGTACAACAGCACCACCTGGGCTCAGGTGTGGAGGCCCAGGGCGAGCGTCCAGAGAGCTCATGCACGCTCGTGGGCTAAGGGTTCAAGGCATCCAGCCAAATCACACACTTGAGTCTCCCGGGACAATTTGGAGGCCAGGTATCAGACGACCTGGCATCCTAAAGATAGGCCCACGTGCAATGGACATCAATGGGAAGGTCACTGAGAATCTCAGCCCAAGCTAAGCCACTGACTCTGCTACCAGGAGCTCAGCACACCAGCCCCTTTCTCCTCTGCGGCTACTGCCCAGACACTCTGAGACTAGCAGTGTCTGTTCTGACAGTGGTGTCATTTACCTGGCTCTGTGGTGATGTATGTCACTGCCAAAAGAGGAGACACCAGTGAACTCCAAGGAATGGAGAGGACCCACACTTTCCCACCCATGAGAGCTGGGTCACCCCAAGTTCCTTGCCAGTAGGCGGCTCCTTCTGGACTTGCTTCCTACAACCACGAACGACAATCCTGACAGGATGCTGTTAGATTTCACTGTTCATTAAAATATGTCCCTTCCAACTGATGATTTTGGAAGAGTGACAATTATCCCCCTTTTTTTAGTGTATATGAAAAAGAGCTTTCAAGATGAGGCCACTAAGTTATAGGCAAACCATTAGAATAAAGAAGTGAATTTGTAACATTGCTAAGGAAAATCACACCAGACAATATATAAAGTGGATGCAAAAAAGTCAGAGAACCAAGCTTGAGAAAACACCATTTAAGCCATGTGGACAAATTGGAAGACAAGAGAGTAGGAATGTTGCTTCCATCTATAGATTCACTGCCATCTCAGCTGAAATTCCAGCAGTTCTTTGTATAAATTAGCAAACTGATCCCCCAAATCACAAGGAAATGCAAAGGGCAAAGTAGCCAAGCAAGCTGGAGAGAGGACTGTGCTGCAGGGCTTGGCCTGTCCTCTTCTCTGTCCTACAAAGCTTTCGGAGCTGAGACTGGAAGTGGCAAGATAAGCCTCAGATCAGAACAGAAAACCCAGGAACAGCCATGTGGAGAAGGCTGTGGATCCACGCAAGTAACACAGGGTAGGCTGGATACTCACAACTGGAAAAATGTGCATTCCCTACCTCACCCTCACCCCAAAGTGCATTCTAGGGGTACTGTTGGGCTAAAAGTAGAAGGGAAAACAGGGTTTTAGAAAAAAAGAGGAGACTGTCTCCTTCAAGTTACCAAAAGCCCTAACCATAACAGAAAAAGAACTGATAAATCAGATTTTATTAAAATAGAGAATTTCTGTTCATGAAGAAAAAACATTTATGGCCAGGCACGGGACTCACACCTGTGATCCTAGCACTCTGGGAGGCTGAGGCAGGTGGATTTCTTGAGCTCATGAGTTCAAGACCAGCCTGAGCAAAAGGGAGACACGGTCTCTACTAAAAATAGAAAAACTGAGGCAAGAGGATGGCTTGGGCCCAAGAGTTTGAGGTTGCTGTGAGCTGTGATGCCACGGCACTCTGCCCAGGGTGAAAGCTTGAGACTCTGTCTCAAAACAAACACAAAACAAAACAAAAGAAAGCACCAACATTTAGGCTGGTCTTGGTGGCTCACTCCTGTAGTCCCAGCACTCTGGAGGGCAAGGCGGGGTGGAATGCTTAAGCTCATGAGTTCAAGATTAGCCTGAACAAGCGTAAGATCCTGTTTCTACCAAAAGTGAAAAACGAGGCAAGAGGATCGCTTAAGACCAGGAGTTTAAGGTTGCTGTGAGCTATGATGTTATGGCACTCTACGAAGAGTGACAAAGTGAGACTCTTTCTTCAAAAATAAAAGGAAGAAAAAACATTTAAAACGTGAAAATGAAGTCCACAGAGTGAAAAAAAGATATGTATTTATAGAGCATGGCTAAGAATTTGTTTCAGAATACACACAGAACCACTACAAATTAGTTAAGAAATACCTAACACAAAAGAAAAATATCAAAAGACTTGAACAATTTACCAAAGAGGATATTCAAACAGCCAATAAAAATATGAAACAATGCTCTATTAGCCCTCAGGGAAACACATCATAAGGTCTACGCTGTCACAGCCAGATAAATAAATAGCAACTGCTCCCCCCGCCCGGGCAGGAGCGTGAACTGACTCAACGCCCTGGAGAACCGTCTGGTGGGATCTGCTCAATGGAAGCGGCAAACACCATGAGTGACCCTGCAGCAGACTCCTGCCAGGTGCGCCTGACAACACCACCCACGTGGTGGTGTCAAAAATACTCAGGAGCAAAGATAAACACAATTTTACTGTACTATATCCAAGGCAAAATTAATGCAACCCCCCATAATAAACAAAATATGACCCCCTCAATGTTTTCTAGGAAAAACAGGGTCAGTATGACTGCTTTTTCTTTTGCTACAGACTCTGATATGACTGGGCCTGGTACCAGCCAGCACTACACATGAGGGCCAAAAGCTGGACACCTACCCACTGGCTGGAGAAGGGACAAATTAATTTAGAGTACTCTATCCGGCACTTAGAATGAGTTGTGACTATAAGCAAAACCAAGGCTGAGTGAAGCAGGCAGACCCAGGGCTACAGTCACATGATGACTCTCACTTAAGTACATAGCCAGGCAGGATAGTAGTCTTCTTGGGAGCAGGGGCAGGAGCTGGGGGTGGGGGGAGCATTTTAATGTGGGTTACACAGTATGCTCAGTTTGTAAACACTCACGAGGCTGCACACTTATAGTGTGGACAGTTTTTTTTTTTTTTTTTTTGAGACAGAGCCTCAAGCTGTCCCCCTGGGTAGAGTGCCGTGGCATTACAGCTCACAGCAACCTCCAACTCCTGGGCTCAAGCGAGTCTCCTGCCTCCGCCTCCCAAGTAGCTGGGACCACAGGCGCCCGCCACAACGCCCGGCTATTTTTTGGTTGCAGCCGTCGTTGTTTGGCGGGTCCGGGCTGGGGATTCGAACCCGCCACCTTAGGTGTACATGGCTGGCGCCTTAGCCGGTTGAGCCATAGGCGCCGAGCCAGTGTGGACAGTTTTTAACACGTATGCTAAACCTCCAAAACGGAGGAAGCCAAATAAAAAGCACAGTATGTGGCCCACATCAGTTACCGCCTCCCTGTTCCTACATGTGAAATTATTCCCAGGTGGAGAGTACTGATTCCAGTAGACTAGAAATGATATTGCAAAATCCTTGGAAAGACACTTGGCAAAGATGCCTTGCACAGAAATGGAAGTATTCAGTTTAAAAGGGACACACATGCATATAGAAACCACATCATTTCAGGTAAAAGCAGACAGTTCTCACCACTTAAAAGCACAAAGTGAAGCCAGGCTTAGAGTGCAAAAAAGCCAAAGTGTCATGAGGTTTTCCAAACTTCTCTTGCAGTGACAAGGCTCTGACCCCTGTAGGAGGTGCAGGCACTAGAGGTCTGGCTGGGGATGATGTGGGCACAGGCACCATGCGGGGTGCAAGGCACTGCTCTCCACAAAGTTGGTGACTCTGATGGGGACACTGTTGCTGCCCCCAAAGAGTTCATGGTCTATGAAAGGTCTTTGGTCTGGAAGACCACGGTCACTGACAAGCCCACTGTGGGGAGTCCAGGGACGACTGTGTTCGCTTCTATTTCAGGGTAGCCTGCAACAGACTTGAACATTAAATAAAGACGGTGGATGCACAATGGACAGATGGACATAAGAGTGACAGCCAGGCGCAGCAGGTGCAGCAGGGTGAAGGGTGCTCACAGAGCTCCTCCCACTTTGCTGTAGGTTTGAAAATTTCTACAATAAAACACCACCGGGAAAACATGGAACATCAAAAGGAGGGCAACAGAGGCAGAGAAGTGCCCCAGGGGGTCACCTGGAGGTCAAGACACCTGTACTTGCAGACCACAAACATACCCCGGTCCTGGCAGGGTGGGAAGGCTTCCCCATGACCCAGACATGCGCCAACAGTGAAACACCTTTCTCATGAGCCCAACCCTTCCTGCACACAGGTGCCTCTGCCCCTGGCCCAAGGGTGTGACACCTCACATTAGTGATGGCAGGTTCTTGTAAGCAGGGACCTGTATACGCGGCCACGTACCACGTGCTGGGCTGAGTCCTTAGTACCTACACAAACTCGCTCAGCCCTCCAGGATAACACCTGGAACTGGACGCCACTAACCCCTCCCTTTAAATGAGGAAACTGAGGCGCAGGAGACCACCAAGGTGGCTCTGTGAGGCTCATGGCTCTGGTGACAGCTGGGGCTGCTTGTCCCTGTGGCCATTGCTGAGTTGCCCTCTAAATGCCCGGGCCCTTCCAAGCCCACTACCCCCTGCCCATCCCACCCTATGCTCGGCACTGACACGGGTCCCCTGAGGGCAGGGGCTGTGTCTGACTCTACTGGAGTCCTACACGTAGCAATGCTCAGTAAGTAGAAAACCAGGATGGCCCCTCGTGGGCTTCTGGGCAGAACCAAGGTGGGGTCAAACGCACTGGCAGGTGCCCTGAGGCAAACTTGAGCCAGGGCAGGGGACGTGCAGGATGCCGTCAGGGGACTCACCCTGAACGCAGTGCCCTCCTCGATGATGGTCGGCAGCTGAGACAGGCAGATGTCCACAGCGAGGTCCCAGGCTTGCCTGGGGAAAGAACAGAACACCCCGCCCGGGGATGTTACCAACAGGCACACAGAGGAGGGCAGCTCACAGGCGGGGGATCTGTGTGCTGGGCAGGGCTCTTTTTGAGAGTTAGAGGAAAGTGTGTATAAGTCTGGGGGACCTGGAGACAAGGGTGGGCAGAGGGGAGGTCCAGGCTACTCTGAACCCTGTGTGGGGACATGACACTCTTGGACAGGGCAGGCACCTTGGGCCCTTACATCCTGTAAAGCATTCTTACGTCCTCTCTTGCAGCTCAGGGCTGAAATGCCCTCAGCAATAACACGAGGTGCATAATGTCCTGGCAATTGTCTGTATCCTGGGTGCTGAAGGCCTGGAGTACACTAGAAGGAGAATTTCAGCACACCAGCTGGACACTTCCTTAGTCCTTTTAAGAGTCCAAGAAAACTCAAGGAAGTTGCACCAGGGCACGGGACAGCAGTCCTTTGCAGAAGTGTGCCGTGAACCAGCCACACCTCATGGTCTGTGGCCCACAAAGGCAGCTACAGACAGGCCTGGTTTCATCTGTGCAGCCTGAAGGGAAGGGCTGCGGCTAGGCCACTGGAACAATGTGTGGTCCAGCTGCCCAGAGTGTGGGCAGCAGAGGCAGGAGAGGCTGGGCTGTCCATGCATCTCAAGGAGAGAAGGAAAACAACTATGCTCATGGTATGAACAAGGAGAAAGGACCTAAGGGAGTCTAAGAACTACTGCAATACAAATACTGAGACCCACTCACCTAGGGCAAGGCTGGTGGCCCATACACATCGACAGCACACAGGGCAAGTCCACTGCCCACCACCCTCGGTGGGCCAGATTCAGTGACCCAGAGTGCGCCTATTAAACTCTAAAATTGCATGACATCTTTTAAACAGCAGTGTTCTCTGATGAGCATTTTATCACTTGATCAAACTATTAATAGTTGTGTTTTCTAAGATAAAATTCAAACAAACCAAAAATCCTGACTTGGGAGTCTCAGCTGAGGCCATGAGGGGGAATCAGGCCTGTCAAACAACAGGGCCAGGAGGGGCCTGCAGCCAGAGGGAGCTGGGGGTCTGGGTTAGCTCCTCCCATGGGGCAAGGTGGGGGAAGCTGCCATTAGCTGTGACTAGCAGATCTGAATGTGGCCCCAGCTCCGGGCAGCTGGAGGGTGGGACTCTGAGCTGTCAGCTGCTCCAATGAGTCATGTGCCTGAGAGACCTGCCATAGGCGTGAGCCTGGCTTTCAGGAAACAGGCCTGTGATGGCAGGCGCGGGGGCGGCCAAGAGCCCATCAATCAGGAACACAGAGCCCTGGAGAAATGTGAGGTTTCAGGACCCCTGAAATTGAAAGTGAAGGAGAACGACTCCCTGATGGGTTTGCATCAAAAATTAAACAGGAAACGGGCTCTGAGTATTTCATCACTGGCTTCCCCCGCCTGAAGCAAGTGTAAATGTATATTACTTTGTGTTTTAACCTCAATTTTTGTTAGGCTTTGTTCCCCTTTCCCCCCTGCTAAAAATTCAACCTCTCCATCACCACCCACGGAATATAATAACTAGATTTTAAATTATTTATTCCAGAAGCTCTCTTCTGATGGCCTCTGCCATGTGTTCCCAGGGGACATGGGCTCTGGCTGTGTGGGGAGGGCAGAGCACCCCAGAGCCCGCCTGCGCCCCTCCAGTCAGCTCAGGCTGCAGTTGGCAAGATCTAAGGTGGGGTGAGCACCAAACTCTGTCCTCCCATCTGAGCTGCACAGTCTTTCCTTCCTTCACAGTTCTGCCCCACTCCTTAAGGAACAGGGATCTGACCCGGGAGGAACTCCCAGGACGGAGGCCACACTCCAGCCTCCCTGGGTGAAGCCAGACTAGACACTGCCCAAGGCTAGGCAGTGGGGAGCTGCCCCAGAAGGCCTTCCCATCTGCTGCAATGTGGGCCCAGCAGCCTGGAGGGAGCCACCTCAGGACAGGGTCCCCAGGACAGGCGCAGCCTGTACCCTATACATCCTAGAGCCCCACTGCCTGTGCTACTTCAGTGCATGTGGGATGGAAGAGAAACTTCATTTGCAAAGCCACTGGATGCAGGGTCACTGACTAACTTGAACTTCAGCCAACACACCTAAGGAACAACCACCAGAGGAGGGAAAACCATTTGGCAGAGCTCTGCCAACTGACCCAGCTGGCGACCTTTGAGAGGGGTGTGAGATGCAGGCCCCATAGATCTACCCAGCTCAAGCGTTCATAACAGGTTGCCAAGGTGCTTCTCATCTCTGACTCAGCAGGAATAGTTTCCTAAGGGAATAGATTACTGCTGAGCCCCAGTGGTTTCCCACTCCCAGGTCTGCATTGTGCTAAATGGTTGAACTGATTCAGCTCCTCGCTAAATTTTAATCTGGGCTCAGTGACAGGCAGGGAAATGCAGCTGCCAACAGAGGTTTTCCATCTCATCTTGGGCCAGGTGGGCGGGGTCCCGATGGCTCCAAAGAGCAGTCTTCATTCCACGCCGGGTGTCATGTGTACCAGGAGCACCAAGGACAGCTCACTCTTGGAGCTCTCTGACATCCAGACTACCAAGGATTATGGTGAGAGTCTAAGAGCTGGAATTAGGCTTCAGTGAGAACATACGAGGATGGAGCACAGGTAAAGCTCCAAAGTACAGACTCCCCCGCAGACACAGGCCTCCTGCAGTGCTGTCTTCTCAGGGGACCACGCAGACACAGGCCCCCATCAGTGTCATTTTCTCAGGGTGACATCTATTTACAGTGACTTCTAACACACGGAGTAGAGCAGGAAGAGCACTGAGCCCCAGTCTGTAGGACTGTGAGTGTGGATTTCTCTCTGGACCCAGGAAGAACAGGCAGGCAGTATGGGCACCAGCCTCACACCTGCCTCTCCCTCAGGGACACACCCTTGGTTTTTAGCAGGTTGGGAGAACAAGTACTGGAGAAGCTCATCACACTGAGACACTCTGCTGGGATATAAAGAGCTTCTTCTTCTTCTTCTTCTTTTTTTTGAGACAGTCTCACTATGTTGCCCTGGGTAGAGTGCTGTGGCGTCACAGCTCACAGCAACCTCAAACTCTTGAGCTTAAGCAATTCTCTTGCCTCAGCCTTCCAAGTGGCCAGGACTATAGTTGCCTGCCACAATGCCTGGCTGTTTTTTGTTGCAGCCATTGTTGTTTAACAGGCCTGGGCTGGGTTTGAACTCGCCTACCTTGGTGTATGTGGCTGGTGCCCTAACCACTGAGCTACGGGCATCGAGCCACAAAGAGCTTCTTTCAAGTGACATTTGCTGTAACAGGAAGCTGTTAACATCCCTAACAGACGGCACATCTACGGTCTCACAATGAGCAAACTGCCATGCAGGTGGGGTAAGTGCTAGCCTAGCTCCTTCCAGATGAGAGAAGGAAAGCCATGGAGAGTGAGAGGCTATCCCAGGAGGCCCCACATGAAGAACTGCTGGACATAGAGGCAGTCCATATGAGGATCCTAGTACCAGGGTGACATCTGAGAGGACCTGGGAAGAGCATCTAATAAGCTGTAGTCACTCATAACTGGGGTGGGCCTATACCCTGCTGTTGGATGAACTTACCCAAGCTGAGGACTCCTCCAAGCCTCAACTGGTGTTTTTTGTGGCAGCAGAACTGAGGTAGTAGGTGGGCAGGGGCTATCAGAGGCTGTGTGGCAGGTCCTCCTCAGGGTGTGCCTGTCCTCTAGAAGCCCAGGCTGGCATCACTGCCCCAACTCCAGGAACCACGGAAAGCCACAGAGAAGCTGGTGGGAGGAACCATGAGCTACCTGCTCATGGGACCAGCTGTGCTGGCCCACAGTTGGCCAGACCATGTTTCCGGGCTTTCTTCTACAAGGATGTTCCCTCCCGCCTGCTTTTTACCTTCTATTCCCTATCAAAGTAGGTTCATGGACTAATTCAACATTTAATGGGACTGACCAGTGTTTACTTTTCAGCTCTTGATTTATGCTGGCACTGTCGTTACTGAAAAACAGTACTCAGAGAGACCATGTGTAAAATGCACGTGATTCTCCTCCTTGAAATCCATCATCACTGATTTCTGTAAAAATAACCTTTTAATTTTATGTATTTGGCACTTTCCTGCATATAAAGACAAGATCCCAGATGGGAGAGGGCCAGCCTGCATGCACAGGTAAAGCAGGAGGGTGGGGAAGAAGAGCTGCCCACCTCCTGATTCTGCTGGCTGCTAGGGCCCTGGGGGTACCAAGTAATGTCACCCGGAGCTTCTGTCTTCAGAGGCTCACAGCCCAGCTGCATCTGGTGTTGCACATCGCCACCCACACCCATGAACCTGCCCTTTTGTGTGTTTGGTTTGGCTCTCAGAAAGTTTCTTTTTAATAACAGGTATCAAAATTAAAAACTAAATAATTATAAATGAAAATATGAAATTTTGACCACTTAAAAAAAACTTGATGATTGGAACTGTGACACAAACTGCCAGTGAAGCTGCTGGCTGGGCCTGACCACGGGGTCCAGCCCTGTGCTCCCCATACCCACATCCACACCTAGTGGCCCTCCTGGGTGACAGACACCCTGGCCCATCACGTGGTCTGAAAGCCTATTGGGCAAAGACACTCACAGTTTGGTCTTTTGTTTCTCTCTAGTTCTGAATTTATGACCAGTAATGCCTTCAGGATAACAATTACTTGTAAAAAGCAGCTTTTACTGTTTTAAAAACATAAAAAATCTACAAGGAGACGTTTAATTATAAAAGTAGTATCTACTAATTTTTGGCATGGAGAACTGTTACTCCAATTCTATCATCCTACACAAGTATCATTAGTGCTTTGTTATAATTCTATTCATATTTTTCTATGTGTAATATAGATTTTAACAGATATTAATTATATTAATAATAAAATTTGGCCTTATATTTTTGCCATTTAACATAAACAGGGTGTCCAGAAAGTCACTCATGAAGTCGTTATACATGAATGGGAAATTATAGCCAATGTACATCTATTACAAAATAATTCATTA